CATAACCTCCCCATCAGCCTGCCCTGAGTGTGACAGCGTGCGGTGCCCCAACCCCCTGATCCGCCTGCTCTGTGTGTGACAGGGGGGCGGGTGCCCCAACTCCCCTATCGGCCCTACTCTGTGAGTGACAGGGGGGAGCTCCTCAACCCCCTGATCGGCCCTGCTCTTTGCATGACAGGGGGGAGCTCCCCAACCCCCTGATGGGCCCTGCTCTGTGCGTGACAGGGTACGGAGCCCCAACCCCCCCTGATAGGCCCTGCTCTGTGAGTGACAGGGGGCAGTGCCCCTACCCCCTGATTGGCCCTGCTCTGTGCGTGACAGGGGGTGGCGCCGCAACCTCCCCATCGACCCTGCCTTGAGTGTGATGGGGCGGTGCCCCAACCCCCCAATTGGCCCTACCCTGAGTATGACTGAGGGTGGCATCGCAACCTCCCGATCTGCCCTGCTCTGTGCATGACAGGGGTCGGCGCCCCAACTCCCTAATCAGCCCTGCTCTGAGCCCGACCAGGGGCTGCACCTAGGGATTGGGCCTGCCCTCTGCCACCCAGGAGCAGGCCTAAGCCAGCAGGTCGTTATCTCCCAAGGGGTCCCAGACTGTGAGAGGGCACAGGCCGGGCTGAGGGACCCACCCTCCCCCCTGAGTGCACAAATTTTTGTGCACCGGGCCTCTAGTTGTTTAATAACATAGCATGTTATTAAACATGCTATGTGGTCTCCATGTGTTTGACTGGTTTTGAGATTTGTTATTATAGTTGATTTCTAGTTTCATGCCATTGTGATCTTAGAATCTTATATAATAAGGAGCTAATATGCTAATTAGATGGATGGAGGAACGACCTTCCAGAATGACCAGTGGGCTGGGGTAGGGCCGTAGGGCCGAGAGGCAGCCAGGGCCATGAGGCAGCCGGGGCTGCGAGGGTCAAGCCCCTTGCCCAAATTTCGTGCATCGGACCTCTAGTATACTTGATATGATTTCAATCTTCTTGAACTTGTAAAGGCTTATTTTGTGTCCTAACATGTAGTCTATCTTTAAGAATGTTCCATGTGCACTTGAGAATAATGTATATTCTGCAGCTTTGGGATGAAATGTTCTATAAATATCAATTAAATCCACCTGATCTAGTGTATCATTTAAGGTTGCTGTTTCCTTGTTGATTTTTTTTTTGTGTGAAAAATCTCCAGTGATGTCAGTGAAGTCCCCTACTATGACTGTATTGCTGATAATCTCTCCCTTAAAGTCCTCCAGGAATTTTTTTAATAATTTTTTTTTATTTGCTGAATCCAGCTTGGTTTTTAGTGCCCTGAGTGTACATCAGCCTCTTTTGTACTTTGAGGCTATTATTTTTATTTATTTTAATATATTTTTTTATTGATTTCAGAGAGGAAGGGAGAGGAAGAGAGAGATAGAAACATCCATGATGAGAGGGAATCATTGATCGGCTGCCTCCTGCACATTGGACTGAGCCCACAACCCAGGCATGTGCCCTTGACTGGAATCAAACCTGGGACCCTTCAGTCCACAGGCCAATGCTCTATCCACTGAGCAAAACCGGTTAGGGCTAGTCCTCCAGGAATTTTTAGATATATATTGACGTGCTCATTTATTGGGTGCATATATATTTACCAGGGTTAAATCCTTTTGTTAGATCAATCCCTTTAGTATTATGTAATGACCATCTTTGTCTTTTTTATCACCTTCGTTTTGAAGTCTATTTTCTCAGATATAAGTATTGCTATCCCCATCTTTTCCATTTCCATTTGCATGGGAAATTTTTCCCCATTCCTTCATTTTCATGCTGTGTGAGTCTTTTGTTCTGAGGTGAGTCTCCTGAAGAGAGCATATATATGGGCCATTTTTTAAAAATCCACTCAGCTACCCTATGTCATTTGATTGGAGCATTTAAGTTTATTATTGATAGGTACTTATTTATTGCCATTTTTATTCTTTATGCCTGTGCTCCTCTAGTTCTATATTTTTTATTCTTCTTCCAACAGTCCCTTCAGCATTTATGCTATGCTGGTTTAGTTGTAATAAGCTCATTTAGACGCCCCCCCCCCCTTTTTTTTTGGTCTGGGAAGCTCTTTATTTTCCCTTCAATTTTATTTATTTGTTTATTTTTAAATATATGTTTATTTCAGAGAGGAAGGGAAAGGGAGATAGAGATAGGAATATCAATGATGGGAGGGAATAATTGATTGGCTGCCTCCTGCACACCCCACACTGGGGATCAAGCCTGCAACCTGGGCAAGTGCCCTGACCAGGAATCAAACACATCTTGATTGGGTCTCTCTCTGCCTCCTGAATTTGTGTGACTTTTTCCTTCACCAGGTTTGGGAAGTTTTCTGTCATTATTTCTTCAAATAGGTTCTCTACCCCCTAATCACTTTCTTCTCCCTCTGGTACTCCTATGATGCAGATGTTGTTACAGTTCATGGTATCCCAAAGTTCCCTTAAACTCTTGTCATACTGTTTTTCTGTTTTAAAACATATTTTTATTGCCCTAACCGGTGTGGCTCAGTGGATAGAGCATCGGCCTGCGGACTGAAGGGTCCAGGGTTCGATTCCGGTCAGGGGCATGTACCTGGGTTGTGGGTACATCCCCAGTAGGGGGTGTGCAGGAGGCAGCTGATCGATGTTTCTCTCCCATCGATGTTTCTAACTCTCTATCCCTCTCCCTTCTTCTCTGTTAAAAATCAATAAAATATATTAAAATATATATATATATATATATTTATTGATTTCTGAGAGGAACAGAGAGTGAGAGAGAATTAAAACATCAATGATGAGAGAGAATCATTGATTGGCTGCCTGCTACATGCCCCACACTAGGCATGTTCTCTAACTGGGAATTGAACCATGACCTCCTGATTAACCACTGAGCCATGCCGGTCAGGCTGTCATTATACTTTTTTTAAAAAATATATTTTATTGATTTTCCACAGAGAGGAAGGGAGAGAGATAGAGAGTTAGAAATATCGATGAGAGAGAAACATCGATTAGCCGCCTCCTGCACATCTCCTACTGGGGATGTGCCTGCAACCCAGGTACATGCCCTTGACCGGAATTGAACCTGGGACCCTTCAGTCCGCAGGCCGACGCTCCATCCACTGAGCCAAACCGGTTTCGGCTGTCATTATACTTTTTATTTTTATTTTTTTCTTTTTGCTGCTCTAATTGAGTGTTTTTTCTACCTTGTCTTCCAAACCACTAATTTGATCCTCTGCTTCCTCCAGCCTCTTCAAATTCCTTCTAGTGTATTCTTGATGTTAAATATGGTATTCTTCATTTCTGACTCGTTCTTATTCATGGTTTTTCTATGTCCTTTTTAATGCTGATGTCGTCCCCCACTAAATTCCGTGTAGTTCCCATTAAGTTCTTTGTAGTTTTCACTAAGTTTCTGGAGCATCCTTATAACCAGTAACCTGAACTCTATGTCTGATAAATTGCTTACCTCCATTTCATTTAGCTCTTTTTCTGGAGAGTCTTTCCCCTCCCCCCTCCCCCCCATTTCATTTAGGGGTTGTTTCTTTGTCTCCCTATTTTAGTTGTCGCTTTGTGTTTGTTTCTATGTATTAGGTAGAACTGCTATGACTCCCAGTCTTCATGGGGCGGTCTTTTGTAGTAACTGTCCTGTGGGACCCAGTGGTACAATCTTCTTGACCTCCTGAACTGGATGCTCTAGGATTGTCTCTTTTGTCGCTTCTTTGGGCTCTCCTGTTATAATTGGGTCTTTTTAAAAACATATATATTTTTATTGATTTTAGAGGGAGAGAGAGATAGAAACATCAATGATAGAGAATCATTGACTGGCTGTCTCCTGCATGCCCCCCACTGGGGAGTGAACTCACATCTGGGCATATGCCCTGATTGGGAATCAAACCATGACCTCCTGGTTCATAGGTTGACGCTCACCTGAGCCACGCGGGCCGGGTACAATTGGGTCTTGATTGTTGTTTTCCCATTCCTCGGTGGGATCTCCTCTCAGGCTGGCTGACTGTGAGGCTCAACCCCGACCAAGTCATGTGAGCTGTTGTACAGGTACAGTTGTTCTAATGCTCCACCCAGAAGTCAGTGTCCCCACTTGTACAATTGGTATGACTCTGTTGATTGCTGTATTTAAAGGATATAGTCGAGCCCTGGCCAGGTAGTTTGGTTGGTTGGAGTGTTGTTCTGATTCACCAATGTTGCGGTTTCAATCTCAGTGAGATGAGAAATGAGTAAAGCTGCAGGAGACCATGAGCCAGGAGTCAGAATGCAGAAATCAGAATTGGAGTGAGAACCGAGAGGAAGCTGTGTGTCCTTGGAAAGTTCGTTAATATTTTAAGCATTAATTTCTCTGTCAGTTGTGAGGAGAGAAGCTATTGTGATCCATTTTAACCATTTTAAAGTGTACAATTCAGTGGCATTTAGTACATTCACAATGTTGTGCAATCACCACCCCTATCTAGTTCCAAAATATTTTCATCACCCCAAAAGGAAACCCCACACTTATTAGCAGTCATTTCCTATTGCCCCCTCTCCCCAGCTCTGCACTGTTACTTTTTGTTTAAGGATTTACCTATTCTGGACATTTGTATGAACATTACCACACCACATGTGGTCTTTTGTGCCTGATTTCTTTCACTTAAAAGGATGTTTTCAAGAGTCACCATGTTGTAGTGTGTATTAGTATTTCATTCCTTTATATGTTTGGATACTATTCCATTGTGTGGAGAGACCATATTTTGTTATCTACTCATCAGATGGTGGACATTGGCTGGTTTCCACCTTTTGGCTATTGTGAATACTGCTGCTATGAGCATTCATGTGTATGAGTTTTGTCTGAACGCCTGTTTTCAGTTCTCTTAGCTATGCACCTAGGAGTGGAATTGCTGGACCATAGAGTAATTGTATGTTTAACTCTTTGAGGAATGGCCAGACTATTTTCCACACCAGTGGCACCCTTGTACATTCCTTCCAGCAATGCACAGGCGTTTCAATTTCTGCTCTGTCCTTGCAGTCCTCCTGTCGAGCCAGCAGGAACACAGTGAGCGGCTACTTCCTCGCGGGCCGGGACATGACTTGGTGGCCGGTGAGTGCACCCTGACTCCTCCCACCCCTCCTTCTATTGGGGCCGCATCTGACCTCCAGGTCAGCCAGCATCTGCATCCTTGAGGTCACTGCCCTGTCCAGTTTAAGCAGGTGGTGATGGGGCAGGCTGAGGCTGTCAGGGGGTCCCCAAGCTGGGGGAATAGGAGTGGGGTCCTGGAAATTGTGTGAAGGGCGGGGGCCTTGGAATCTGGGTGGCTCACAGCTGATTCCTTTTCCTCTCTCCCCACCAGATCGGAGCCTCCCTCTTTGCCAGCAGCGAGGGTTCCGGCCTCTTCATTGGACTGGCCGGCTCAGGCGCAGCTGGAGGCCTGGCTGTGGCAGGTTTTGAGTGGAATGTGAGCTCCCAGAGAGTGGGTGCAGGGTGTGGGAGAGCACAACCATCCCGCCAGGCCCTGGACAGGGGCTCCACTGGAGTCCACGCCTCGATGGCCAGAGGGGCGCCTCCCAGCAACTTAGGTCTGCCAGTGTCCAGATGTGTTCTGTGCAGCAGTGCTCCTGGCGGGAGGGGGAGGTCTGGTCTTCAGAATGCCAAAGAGCTGGACAGACCAACAGGAAGGCAGCTGCTAGCCTTGGCCCAGGCCATCTGTTCACAGAGGTGCAAGGAGGGGAAGGGGCTGGCCTGAGTTCTCCTGGCAAGTCAGGCCTCCAGACCCCTGGTCCCAGTTTCTCCTGTGGAGCAGGGCTGTGCCCACTGTCCTCACCCTGCCCCTGTCGCCCGCAGGCCACCTACGTGCTGCTGGCCCTAGCGTGGGTTTTTGTGCCTATCTACATCTCCTCGGAGGTAAGTCTGCCCCTGGAACCTCGGGGCAGCCTCCCTTGGGTCTGGGCCTTGGTCCTAATTGGTGGTGGTGATGGGCAGGACCCTCTGGCTTCACCCACAAGTTGGCAAACTCTCCCAGCTGTTTATTATGCAATTAGCATTCCTATCAGCCCAGCAAGGCGGCCCCAGGACGTCAGCCCAGGTACCTTATCTGCTGGTTTGCATCTTGGAGTCCACATCTCAGTGGCCTGAGGGGCACCTCCCAGCAACTTAGGTCTGCCAGTGTCCAGATGTGTTCTATGCAGCAGTGTTCCTGGGGCACACAAGCCACACACCTGGACAGCACACCTGAATGGCACATCTGGATGGCACACCTGGGTGTTACACCTGAGCTGCACACCAATGCGGCACACCTGGGCTGCAGACCCGGGCAGCACACCTGGGTGGCACACCTAGGCAGCACTGTCCTTGACTCTGCCCACTCCTTTAGCCCCAGCTGAGCAGTCACTAAGTCTAGGGGATTCCATTTCCTGGATGTCTCTGTCTGCCCCCTGCTCTGCCCCCACAGTCACCTTCTCCATTCAGCCTCACAGAACTCATCTGGTTTTGTCCTATCAGCTTCCGAGCCTGTCCCTCTGTCCCCAGCAGCGGCCCCTCCAATCCATTCCTCATGTCAGTCTTGAACAGCCCGTGTAAGCCTGCCCGCCACTCCCCTGCCTGGAACCCTTAGGAGATGGTGAAAACCCTTCGCCTGAGTTCAGTGCTCAGTGTGGGCCCGCGCCTGCCCTTGAGCAGCTCCCGGCCCGAGTGCTGGTGTGGTCTCAGGAGAGTGACCCTGTCCGGCCCCCCCAGATCGTCACCATGCCTGAGTACATCCAGAAGCGCTATGGAGGCCAGAGGATGCGCATGTACCTGTCTGTCCTGTCCCTGCTGCTGTCTGTCTTCACCAAGATATCGGTGAGCCGCCCCCACTCAGCTTCTAGCCAGCAGAGCCTGGGCACATCCCACTCTGGAGGCCCCCCAAACAGACCTGACATCCTCTCACCCTTGTTTAACATCTGGGGAAACTGAGGCCCAAAGAGGGACAATGACTTGCCTAGGGTCACACAGAGAGTTTGTGACAACTGGTCCAGCGCCCCCAGAGTGTAGGCTCAGCAGCCAGCATAGTTGGGGGACGAGTGTAGGTTCTGTGACTCCTGGTTCACCGCAGGTGCTAGATGTGGGGGCCCCCGGGGGTACTCAGTATCAGGGGTTGGTGGTGGACATCCCTGGTCAGCCTCTGGTCTTCCCTGGACCTGAACTGAGGTGAGCAGGACGGCCACGAGGGGGCGCTGAGAGCCCGCCTGGTCTGGGCTGAGGTTCAGAGTCTGCATGGAACCCGCCTTCTGCCTCTCACTGTGGCTGGTCAGCTCTGTCACCAGCTGGTCCCCAGCAGCACCCCCCACCCCCACCCCCACCCCGCCCCCAGCATTGGGCTGCCACCACAGGCCTCTTTCCCTGGGGGCCTGGACCTGGTCCCGCTGGAAGGGCAAGAGCAGAAAGCACACCGGAGTGCCAGGCAGCACTTGCTGGTGGCTTTCCTGTCCAAATCCCTGACTTTACAGGTAGGGAGGCAAGGCCCAGGGAGGGCATGGGCTGGTCTCAGGCCTGCTGGTGACGTCATGGCAATGCCAGGCCTGGTCTTTTATTGGCCGATCGGGTTTCAGGAGAGAGAACATGGCTGCGTCAGGGGTCAGCCTCCTTTCAGATGGGTGACCCTGGAGGAGACCCGGGACCCAAGCCTTGGCTCCGAAGGCGGTGGATGGCCGGCCAATTCCCAGGCTTTGTGCGGGGGTGGGGGGGGGGATGGAGGGGGTGGGGGGGGGGGTGGGCTGGCACGTTGGAGGCAGGACGTACTCCGTGAGCCTGGCTTTCTCCTTAGTGACGCTCACCTCCTGGGCCTTCTTCAGGTGGGCTCTGGGACCTGGGAAAACCCAGACATGCCATGGATTTGAGGAGGGAGTGGAGGCCTCACTGGTCAGCCAGGACCTGCAGGCAGGGCAGGCAGGGCTCCCTGGAAATGAGAGTGACTGCTCCTCAGCGGCCCTGAGGCAGCCTGGGACTGGCCTGGGACTGGCCTGGGGCGGCCTGGGGCAGCCTGGGACTGGCCTGGGCTGGCCTGGGTGCCCTGGGACTGGCCTGGGACTGGCCTGGGGCAGCCTGGGACTGGCCTGGGGCGGCCTGGGACTGGCCTGGGGGTGGCCTGGGACTGGCCTGGGGGTGGCCTGGGACTGGCCTGGGGGTGGCCTGGGACTGGCCTGGGGCAGCCTGGGACTGGCCTGGGGCGGCCTGGGACTGGCCTGGGGGTGGCCTGGGACTGGCCTGGGGGTGGCCTGGGACTGGCCTGGGGGTGGCCTGGGACTGGCCTGGGGCAGCCTGGACCACATGGGCCCTGACTGGGGGTCTGACCTGGCATCTGGCCTGACCCTCCCCCACCTTGGGCATGGGGACAGTGGTCGGCAGCCCCTCTGCACACCCTGGGCCTTGTCTGGGCCTGGCCTCTACTGTGCACCCACAGGTCAACTCCGGGGGCCCCAGAGCATCTTGCTCTTGTGCAGGTTTTGGGAGCTGTTAACAAGCAAGCATTGCTCTGCCTTCCAAAAGTGAGTGCTCTCAGAGTATCATGAGAGGCTTCTTGCTCAGGGTTTCCCTTTGGAGACTGGAGGGACCTGCTCCACACTGCACTGAAGGTCCAGTTTAGAATTTCCCCCTCATGCGCTTCCTCTCCGCATTCCCCGGCCCCTGTGCCAGCCGCCTCTCCTGGGACCAGAGGCACAGATACAGAGGCCACGCTCCAGTTCGCACCAAACAGACCTGTGGGCCATCTGGCTGCTGGGCTGCCATGTCCGCCCTGGCCTAGAGCGCGACAGTGAGGGGTGAGGCTGGAGGTGCTGATGGTCAGGGGTCCCAGCACCAAGCAGCGCTGGGGGTTAGGCAGGTCGTGGCACAGTCAGGCTGGAGTTAGTGCCACTGGCCCCTCCCAGAGGACGGCCAGAGTGGGGGAGGCCTGAGGAGGGGAGGCCCCCTGGGTCCGCAGGGCCAAGTCCTGGGCCCGGGGGTTCTTTCCTCCCCCGGTTCAGCCTGGTAGTATCTATGGACAGGGTTCCAGCCTGGTGGTATCTATGGTAAGGGTTCAGCCTGGTGGTATCTATGGTAAGGGTTCCAGCCTGGTGGTATCTATGGACAGGGTTCCAGCCAGGTGGTATATATGGTAAGGGTTCCAGCCTGGTGGTAGTCTATGGTCAGGGTGCAGCCTGGTGGTATCTAG